ATTAATACCAGGTACAGAAGAAGTTTATGCATAAGCATATTCCTCTACATTATTTGTAGTATATGGAAAAATCTAAATACCTCAAAATAATGAAGCAAATCATATTGTGTTCACACATTAGGATAGTATACAGTTATTAAAATTATATTCATTATAGAGTTTATGGATTATTACAGTAAGTAGTAAGAAGCATAGAAAATGTTATGTATAGTATGAGCTCTGTATTGCTAAAAATATATGAGAGTTGAAAAAAGAAAAAAAAAAAAAACACCCTACCAAATGTTAAAATGTTGATTTCTGAACTGTGACATTCTAAATGAATTTCGTTGTTGTCTGCTTTGAGCATTTATGTTGTTTCAAAAGCAAGGAAAGAAGAAAGCATTTCAAAAGCTGCTCTATGTAATAAGCACAAAGCAAATAAGCTCAGACAGATGGTGCAGGCACCCAGCTGTATGGCATGCTTATTAAAGCCCCTCCGGGGCTCAGCAAATGGAACATGCCAGAAGGAAGAGAGCAGTGCTCAGGGGCATGGGTTGGGTAGCCAGACAGACCCGAGTTCAAGGATCAAATTTACTTAACCTCTCACCTTCTAATTTTCTCATTCCTATGAAGTCATTCTGCTTGGGGTTTGTTAAATGTTCCACAAAAGCCTACGTGCAAGGCTCCTCGCCTAGTTCCTGCTGTATTCCAAGCACTGAGCTACTATTTCAATAATTGTTACCAGTTAAGCTCTTAAAATTTGGCCATTATATTTCTAGAGACAAATGTGAATTCAGCTTAAGGTTTTTAGGTATAAATAACAACTAAACATATGTCCACATAAAGAGTACAATTGATCAGAATATATACATTTAAGCTAGAACATTTTCATTTATTTCAAAATAAATTATTAGAGAGGCCCTAAACAATGAATAGTTCACTGTAGTGGAAAATTTCATCTCATATATAGTTGTTGCTCAAATAATAAGAAAGAGCAAGGTAACCATACTTCAGACATCTAAACTCCCCTGCATGATGGAGATGAGGTCTCCCATGGTCTTAAGGCTTTGAGGATATTTAAAATTCTGTATGCAGGACATTTCCATATCAGTCATCATTAAAGCATATGAATTCCACCGAAATCTCAATCTAGGAAACTGGAAAACAAAACAAAACAAAAAACTCGCTTTGAGCATTAGCTTCCATGCACTCCCAAGTTTCCTTTTGACTTTTATCCTCATTCTAGTTAATAAAACATGAAACCCTTCCTATTCTCTTGATCAGTGATAGACCAGAAGTCTTTGATTAATGCACAGGTATTTCACATATTTTATATAGTTATGCAAGTTGTTTTCAAGAATAGGAAAGGTATATTTATATTGCTCTAGTCCGCTACAATGACATGCTCTCCAGTCCAGGACTGGAGAGCATGAAGGAGTCCTGTCTGCTCCCCACGCTGCCAATGGCCCACAGCATGAGCCTCCTGGACATGGAAGGTGTTAGCTAGGCCCAACTCACATTCAGTGAGGGATGTCAACACGGCTGCAAGGAATTCTGTATGAGAGTTTTGGAAGGGACCTCTTATTTAGTCAATGTTATTAAAGATCAACCTACAATCTATTTGTCAAGAATGAGGGAAGACAAACTAAAATCAAAGTCAAAATTTTTTTAAAATGAAGAAGGAATAACTAAGTTACTAGAATCTCTAATTAAATAGTCTGTATGTTATTTCATATTCTGTTTCCTAGCGATAGGTAGGCAGGGGAAGAGTGGGTCATAGATACTCTGAAGTAGTCAACACTTGAACTTTAAAATTTCAGCTTCATAATAATTGTTATTTTGTGGGGTAGATCCATTGTTTTTGCTATATTTTATCATGTTACCTCAAATCCTGTCCAAGATTCTTCATTAAGTTATGACCCAAACTGCATCCACATATACCCACAGACTGTGGACTATGTGTCACGTCCATTTCCTCCTGCTATCCCCAGGACTTCCACCTTAGTTCAGGTACTCTTTATCTGTCACTCAAACACAGACACTCATCAGACAGCTCGACTCACAGTCTCTGATCTTTTCTGTTTAAAGCTTCCTCACATTAACCAATGAGCAATCTCTGTAACAACATGTTTAGCCACACTATGCTACTCTTCCTTCACAATGAAGTGCAGCACCTGTTGTGGTGCAGACGCTGGTCCCTGACCCCTCTCCACATCATTCTTTTGCTATGCACTCCTTATACACTGGAGCACAGCTTTCATATCCTATCCATCCTAGACCTTCCTGAAGAGTGTCTAAGAGTCTAGGGCAATGCCCAAACACAGAAAATGCTCAATAAATGTAATTTGAATTGGTGAATTAGTACACGAATAAGAAAAGCATTAAGTATCTACACAGATGTTTGTGAACATAAATATGCCTATTTGAATAATTTATAGATAATTGAGAAGCATGGTAATACTTCCTGTAACTCTCCACTTTTTGGTCAATACATTTATGTGTTTTCCAGTGCTTTGACTATTTTCTTAATCACTGCATGTAAATTCTCCTTAACACTCCTCCTGAAGTTCCAGGATAATTATTTTCTGAGATTTATTACTCAGTCCATGGAGATAGGCATGCTCTAAGTGCTTGGTAGTCTGTGAGCAAGAATCATGGACGTAGCTCCTTCCCCTCTTATGAGCAGTGAACACCTGACTCACATATCTGCAACCTGTATCTCTATCAAGTAAAAAACCAAGTGGGATCCAACACATTAACTGTGGATGCCCATCTCTAACACTTTACCCAAGTAGCAAACACACACACAAGCACACACTGCACGCACCACTGACATGCACATAAGAAAGACAATCAGAAAAGTTTTAAGGAGTCCTCTCTTTTATTATGTGAGTTTAAATAGAATTCCTGAGCCTGACTCATCAGAAGTTTCACTGAACTTCATGAGGATGTCATAGTGAAGATGTGAATCTGTCTCATGCCACCCTCTAAACACCAGGGCTTCTCCCAGGACACCTCTCTGAGGATAGTCACTTCTGTCTTCCTTTATTTCTTAGATCTTTTATCTAATCTCAAGTTCTACATAGAGAGGCCTCAGAACACGTCTCACCACAGTGTGGAGGTTGATAGAAGTCTTTCTTCCTTGCTGCCAACATCTAAGTTAGAAGTACCCAAGGAGGGAAGGATTTTCAAGTTCTCATCTCATGAGGATGATGCTCCACCTCCTCTTCATTCCTCTATTCCTTCTGGGCCAAGGCTGGGACCCGTGAACCTGTCACCACCCAAATACTTGGGGAGTATGATTTGCAGTGTGGTCCCGGGAGTTTGTATGTCCTCATTACTAGAAGGGTTTCATGTGTATAGATCCAGCTGGGTATTCAGTCATCACCCACTGCTCCATTGCTTCTGAAAGTCCATCCCCAGGGCCCACAGAAATGCAGACAGAATGATAAACAACAGTTGGTTCTCCTGGTGCAGGTGGAATCTGAGCGCTGTGTATCCTGGTCCCTGCAGGGGTCCCTAGAGATGATCTGGAAGGGCGTGGTAGAGATGGCCTCAATGTAAAAGCTGCATTGCTGGTGTTGCCACTGAGCAAGCCCAGTCCCTGCTTCAGCCTGCATCAAGATTAGTGACAACTCTCGCACCCAGGAAGGCCTCTCTTCAGAAGCTGCCGGAAAGAGTAAGATCCTAAATTATGACCTTCAAAAGTTTCCTTGATCCCTGTGCAGTTTGCCCTAAATCTAATGAGATTTCTGAGGCAAGACCAGAGCTAGGACATCAGAAAGTAGAGGATGTTTTGCAAAATGTAGTAGTTCAGAGAAGCTGGGGTCTGGAGGAAGGAAAGGCCCTAGAAGTCAGTACACCAGATGGGAGATAGAGGGCCAACTTAGGGGCAGGAAGTTTTCAGAGCTGAAGATAGGGTTGACATGTGAAAGGTGCAGGCATCAGTTGACCTTTGAGCCTTAGTCATCAATATTTGTAAACTTCTATAGAACATTTGAGTTCTTCCTTTCTGTAGCTCCTGTGGCCATATGGTCGAGAAGATAGCTGCCAGAACAAAAATTAAAGAAAATTTGAGACTTCATTAAAATGCAGGATATAAACTTTGGCTGTTATTCCTAATAAGAGACTGTTTGTCCATCCACCCATCTATTCAGCAACTGTGTAGGCATTGTCCAACTTTGGGTCGCTGTTTCAGAAATAGCAACTACTCAGACCCAGAAAAACAGCCCTGCAAGAGGGTGGGATGGTAGCAGGGGTGAGAATAGGGTATTGCAACCCTACACAAACAGCCACTTATCTAGAGAATATCAGGGATTACTTCAATGAATGCTATCCAGATTAATGGTGTTACTCCTTGCTTATGCCCAGAAGGAAAAAAGCCAGATTATCCCGGGTAGCATCAGGAAGTAAAATATTTAATGCAAGTTTCACTTGCTAAAACTAGTAAAGGCCGAGAGAAACAGATCTCTTCGAAATTGCCTTTGTAAAGCTCATCCCTTCATTCATACATTTATTTTTGGTCATTTATTGAGTACCCGCTGTGTGCAATGTACTTTGCCTAAGTTATAGAATGAGAGAAAATTAACTGGTGAAGAGAAAGTAGGGACAACATGTGAAAACTAGATAAATAGAGAAAGTGAAATCACATGACATAGGGTTATGGTCCCTTCTCAAAAACAGCATGACTAGTAATTCTGAAAAAATAACTTATTCTCTCACTGCCACCATAGTAAAAATGTGGATTTTCCAATCAAAGATAAGCAAAATTCTGCAGAAAGATAAATAACATATGACAACCTGGGCTCGCTTATTATGTGAGTTATCTGAAGAAAGTGTTCTTTCTGCATTTCTGTGGATTAAACGATTCGACATAACGACTGGAAGAGATTGCTGAGTCAGTGCATGGTGTGCACCGTGAACCCTCTATTTCCATTTACTGTCTAATCCAGATCTGCTTTTGGTCCTCAGCACACGCCTCACTGCCACAGCAGTGACCACAGAGATACTGTCACAAGGGCATGACAGAAAATCAGACATGGGTCACAGAACTCATTCTTCTGGGATTTCCACTCGGTCCAAAGACACAGATGTTCCTGTTCGGGCTCTTCTCCCTGTTCTATGCCTTCACCCTGCTGGGGAACGGGGCCATCCTGGGGCTCATCTGTCTGGACCCCAGACTGCACACCCCCATGTACTTCTTCCTCTCTCACCTGGCTGTCGTCGACATGTCCTATGCTTCCAACAATGTCCCCAAGATGCTGGCAAACCTCGTGAACAAGAAAAAGACCATCTCCTTTGTTCCCTGCATAATGCAGACCTTTTTATACATGGCGTTTGCTCACACGGAGTGTCTCCTCTTGGTGGCCATGTCCTATGATCGATACGTGGCCATCTGTCACCCCCTACAATACGCTGTCATCATGAGCCGGAGAGTGTGCACCATCCTGGCTGCTGCTTCCTGGGCATGTGGCTCCCTCCTGGCCCTGGTCCATCTAGTCCTCATCCTGAGGCTGCCCTTCTGTGGGCCTCACGAGGTCAACCACTTCTTCTGTGAGATCCTGTCTGTCCTCAAGCTGGCCTGTGCCGACACCAGGCTCAACCAAGTCGTCATCTTTGCTGCTTCTGTGTTCATCCTGGTGGGGCCCCTGTGCTGGGTGCTGGTGTCCTACACGCGCATCCTGCTGGCCATCCTGAGGATCCAGTCAGGGGAGGGCCGCAGAAAGGCCTTCTCCACCTGCTCCTCCCACCTCTGTGTGGTGGGGCTCTTCTTTGGCAGCGCCATCGTCATGTACATGGCCCCCCAGTCCCGCCACCCTGAGGAGCAGCAGAAGATCCTCTCCCTGTTCTACAGCCTTTTCAACCCCATGCTGAACCCCCTGATCTACAGCCTGAGGAACGCAGAGGTCAAGGGTGCCCTGCACAGGGTGTTGTGGAAGAAGAGATCAAGGTGGAGAGATGGCGGGACACCTTGAAGGTAAAAGAGGTAGGGCCGGGATGCCAATGCCTCAGCGACTCACCTCTTAGATTTATGATGTCAGGAACGATCACATGCTGTCCCTAAACACAGGGCATTGACATGACCACAAAGCATAGCAGAAAGGCACAGAGGGCACAGGCATGGAGACAAGGGTCAGGTGGGGTGAAGCACAGGGGCAAGCAGCCATGAACTCCTACTGCCAGATCTACCCCACAGTGGCTTCGGATCTTCTGAGGCATAGTTCCCTGAAATTTTCTCTTAAATTCCTCCACAATTTCCCTTTCCCTTATTGCCCCAAGACATGCTAAGTGTCCCAGGCTGTATGCTGCTGCGGATGTGCACGTAACCTCACAGGGCTAAGCAGCCTGGGTTGATCAGCCCCTATGGGGCGTGGAGAGGGCTTGAGTAGAGCCGGAGTGTGATCCAGAACTTCTACCCTGGAAAGTCATCTGAATGAGCCTCTTAGGTCTGTGTTTAAGAAAAGCTAAAGTGAGGTTTAAGTTTATGATTTCTTTCTTCTTTCATCTCCACTTAATCTGTTTCATTAGTTAGAAGAGGTTTAGAAAGAATGTACATTTGGAGTAACTATGAGAGGAAGTTATTAAGGAGTTACCTTCTCTGGAATTCAGATGACAAAATTAAATGTGAATGGCAGTTCATTATTATGCTGATCAAGTAAAATATTTATATGAGGAAAAAACATTTGCCAAGAAAGAAACACTCCAAGAAAATGGATATCTTGATAAAACACTGTGGACCATCACTTAGAACGATATATCACAGGTCTCCTAAGGACTTTGACAAACTTCAACAACACTGACAAGGGCACCTACTCCAGGGGACATAAATCACTTTTTCTGCACCTGTGCAGTCAGAATGACATGAAAGAGTAATTGGTTTTATTTTAACCAAGAACAGGACCTAAGTGGTCAGCAGAGTGACGAGTGGTTCCTTATCACAAAAGTACAGGGTCCTCAGAATGCTCTGCTGTGTTCCCTATCATGTACTGTCACATGCCATTCAAGTGTGATATGTGATGATGTTATATTATTACCTGATGCACGTAGATCTTTCTATTTTTCGCCATATTTTTTTACATATAATTATCACTCTATATTTTTCTGTTCTCAGGAAATAAAGAAGCAAAGGGGCAATGTTTTCCTCCCACCTTCACTCAATGCATTTTTTTCCCTTTCGGTTCTCAAAAGGTCGAGTAACAAGCTGTTCTGCCTATCTGTCTATCTGAGCAAACATCTGGCCTTCGGTCATCTTTATGATTCTTATCTCCACAGTGTGAGTCTTTCCCAGCCCACAGAACTCTATAAACCCTGCTCTGCGCCCTAAAGATAAAAATCTGAATAAGGAAATAAATATTGGCCCTTAATGCAACTATAAGCACTATGGAATTATTTTGTACCCTATTCTGAAAGTAGTAAGCAAAAAGGCAATATTTTCATATAACAAGGATTTTCTAACTCTTCCTAGAAAAATTATTATATTCTCTAATATATGTATACCTTGTATTATGATTAAAAATATAAAAGTGAAAGGTAAGAATAAAAATATACAGTAGTTTATCTAACATAAGGCATAAACCATAGATTTGGATTCAGAATTTTTCATTTAGGGATCATGATAAGAAATCAGGGGATGGCATTCGTTCTTATTCAGTTCAAAAGTGCTTGGGGAAAAATAAGCCAAAAATACCAAACTTCTGTAGAAGATAACTAATATAGAAGAATTAAAAAGAATTGTCGTCTAGCACCCCTGAATGGCTCTGAGACACACATCCACCAATAATAAATTGTGTGTGTATGGGCAGGCGGGGAATGCCTAAAGATGAAGTTACTATGAATTGTTGTGTTCTTGGATGATGATGATGATGTGGTGGTGGTGGGATTGAACCTGAGATTGAACCTGGGCCTTAATAAACAAATTGTACTTCTCTGCTTGATCTCCTTCTATTTATTCTTCCAACATTAGTCACAGTTTTCAAAGGGCTGGGAATAAATAGAAGAGAGAGGATGAAAACTCTACTGAGTGCTTCACAAATGTCACCCCATCTTTTACCAATAACTCAGTGGAGTAGATATCATTTTCCTTATTTACTAGATAAGGAATCAACATTTCAGAGTGCTTTAGCCCCATGTCCTACTTCACACAGCCAGTAACAGTGCAGAATTGAGATGGAGTCATGGACTGTGCTCATTGCTGACCAACATTGCTTCTTATGTTTCTTGCCCAAACAGCACAGATTTTTAGATCAACATGAGTAGGGCCCAACAGGCACATGATGCCAATGTCTAGAATAGAAAATAGAACACATTGCCATGTCCAAAGCCTCAAGACCAGAAAGAATATAATCTTGAGCTGGCTTGTCTTGGGGAAATCATTATCACCCAGGATAAGAGTAGACACTCTCATCTTGGTGGCCCACTTATTCCCCAATAGTAACTCCCTCTTGATGCCTTTCCATAAAATCACATGATCCCACAAGGCATTGCCTCAAAGGGTGCAGTCTGAACTAGAAGTATCATGTTATCCTCAGCATCCTATCATGCTGATAGTTCTGGTCTTCTCTCTCTCTCTCATCAAATTTGCCCATCTGTTTGCTTTTCCTGTGCCATGAATGCTTTCCCAATGAGCTTCCTGCTTTACTTGTGTGCTGATTTTTTTTTTGTGGTGCTGGGGATTGAACCCAGGGCCTGGTGCATGTGAGGCAAGCACTCTACCAACTGAGCTATATCCCCAGCCCCCATGTGCAGATTCTGGATGGAGCTGCCTGACCAGGGCTCTGTGCTGATGGTACTAAGCGTAGGCTTGAGCTGAGACCCTTGTTAGCTTGGATTTGCATTGCAGTTGTGCTGTGGCTTACTGATAGGTCTGCTTCTAACTATGACTTAGTCTCCTCAATCCTGAGTTTCATCTGAGGTCAGGTGTGGATACTAATGCTTCTCCTAGGTACTTCTCACAACTATTATGGGTAGTCAATGATATAATGCATGTGAATCTGATTTGTATATTTTTTGATGAGGAAGGTTTAAGGATAATGAGAATGCAAAGATCACCCATTATGACAGAGTACTGGTAAAATTCATGATTAAACAACTACAGCACTATAAAAATCAATTGTATTCTAATAATTCATAAATTATTACAATACTTAGAAGAAAAGATGTCTCAAAAAACTTCATCTTTATGAGTTTACAAATTTTTTAACCTCTTTTATTTGGTTGGTAATCTTGGGGAAGGTCTCCATCAAAGAGGTAGAAGGAAATGCATAAAATGTTTGGAATGAAATGGTTTTCATTGTTCCTGATGGGAGATAAGCTGTAAAAGAAAGCTTTTATGAATTTTTACATTCTATACATAGCTGCAAAATTCCAAAAAGATTCTTGAGATAGCATTTAGGATAGAAAATAAACAGAAAAATAATTAGTCTATAGCTTTGTTGTATTTTTTCTCTTACCTTCATACTAAGAATTCTCATCACTGTGTGCCTAGAGTAGTTCCACTAGGAAATGCAGGGTCTATATGTAGAGATACAAGCTCGCTGTTGTGGGACCCTGTTCATTGGCTGAATGCTAGTACTCATAGTTGCCTACGCCTTACTAGTAGTCAGGATGCCAGAGAGATTAGGAATATATGGGAGAACAAATAAGTGAATGAACAGACAGAAACTTTTTTTTTTTAATAAATGCAAATGTTTTACCTGGGAATGAGAAGACAAATAAGAAAAAATAGCTGTCTTCATATGTTCCACAGAACATCCTATAAGAGATAAAAGTGACTTATTATTGCCTTTCAGAGGGAAAAGCCATATCAATAGGTAGGCTTATTAGGGAGGTAGAGTTAAAAATTAATGACATAATTCTTTTCTAGCATCATAAAGTATACATCAATGAGGCCTTTGAATTGGTGTGCACTTCCTATAAATGACAACTATACACACATTGAACAGGCATTTGCAATAGATTCTCTATAATGCCTTTTCAATATTAAACATTTTATGATTTTGCAGAAGTCTTTCATCTTATTTTCTTGATGTCAGAAAGTTTAAACTGATTTTAAACAAACTTGTAGATGTTCAAAGACTTTTAAATTGCAAAGAGGATGTTTCCTGTGTCAAAATTCTGTCTTGCTCTCCTGGTTATTGAGCAGAATTATCAAAAGAAAATACTCAAGTAGGAAGAAGGAGTTGTATAAGGTCCATATTTGGGGTTCTCTCAACGTAATTTCCACAACCACCACTTCATTCCTAAATAGTTGTGATTTCACATTTAAAATATTCACTTGATCTCCAGTGGTAGTTGCTCAAAGACTTTGCTTGAAACACAGAGCAGTGACAGATAAACTAGGAAAGAAGAATGAGAAAGACAAAGCCAGCTTCCAAGGTAAGATAAAAATCTCTGCTGACCAGAAACAAAGCGAAAATGCAGACTGTGATTCAGCAGAATCTGGCAGCTGGCCCGAGTGGGAAGAGCTTTGCTTAGGAAACTGAAATGCTTCATGAGATAACTGGGAACCTAGGTGGGGCCTTTTCTTGAAAATAGAATCTGGGGGAGGGTGGGAGGGACTTTCTTTGCTTACTAATGGAGACCAGAAATTGCACCTTCACACTCTGCCTTACCTGTAAGAGAACCCCTGCTTCCTACTACAGACAGACATGGAGTCCACCCACCCAGCCAGCTGTGGAGATCTTCAGTATGCTCAATATTGTTACAGGGAAAGAGTCCTAAACCACTAATGTAAGAATCAGGGCTGGAGGGAGAGGGACAAGAACGTGGACAGGGGGAGAACTGTGTCTGTAGAATGACCTTCAAGTCCATTTTTAGAAGCTGTCCCCCCCCCCCCAAAAAAAAAAAACAGTCAAAATTATCAACAGGTAAAATATAAATTCACTTCTATTGACATTCATTGTTTGTCTTTAGGAATGATATGATAAATGTTGTATGTTCTAAACAGGTAAATAAATAGAGCTTTTTTTTTTTTTAA